CCGCAAATTGTTGCTATGCCAACCTTGTTTGATCCATCTCCCAACCACCAATTAATGCATGTCATGAGAAAATCTATTCCAACTAAATAGGGAGGGATATATAAAGTGGTGCGATGGAGTTTATTTTGAATCTGTTTAATAATATCTTGATTGAATGCTACTCATACCTATAAATTTTAAAATATATATTCGAATTATAACTTAACCAAGGACATCTTGGAAATTGAATAAAAATTCTTTAACATATTTGTCTATTTTTTTCATAAATTTGATTTTTAATTTCATCTTAACTCATCTTACTTGTCCTTAAAATTCTTGAGTGTATGATTTTTTAGAAAATGATAAACTATTTTATTTAATTCATTTAATAGGTTATTATCTTTTAAAAAAAAAGCTTACTTCTTTTATTGGTATTTTCAAAGGTACCACTCAATAGTAGGAAGGCAACCCGCTCCTGATTCCCAACAGCCTGATGGCTGCTGCCGCACTTTTGCTCCGGAAAACTATATTTATCATATACACTAATTTTTTTTTTTTGCTCAGCCAATGAAGAAGTTTCATTAATGATAGAATAGTTACAAAAGGTTAGCCTAATGTCATAGGTACAGCAACTGCAGCAAAAGATGATATAAATATCTGTTGCTGGAAGAAGAAAGTAAAAAATATAGAACACCTGAAATCATAAACATCTGACAAGATCACCACCAAGCTGCGAATGAAGTGTCTTTATCAACTCCATGCCTTGCTAGAGAGTCTGTGAAACTATTGCCTTCTCTATAGATGTAATTGAAGGACACTGTACCTAGTGAGACACGTAAAGAATCAATCTCATTGAAAATGCTCCATTTATCCCAAGGTCTCTGTTCGACAGAATTAACCCATGTGAGAGCAACTCTTGAATCAGATATTAATTACCCCACAGTCATATAACACCTGCAACATTATTGAATTAATTACAAGTTATAAAAAGAAAGAAAAGAATAATAAACCGAAAAGGTTAGGAAAGAGATCAATGAAACCTGAGGGGAAACAATCATTTTTGATTCCTCTAAATAATTGTCAATTTGCACTTTTATATTTCCACTGGAGCCCAATTTGAGTAACTCTTCATTTACTTTCAAGCCCTTATAAATACAATACAATGGTGCATGAAAAAAATGTTAAATTTTACACTTAGCATTCAACTTAAAATTAATATTAATATATTAAAAGAATGCCCCAACAATTAAGAATTTGACACCCAATTAATTTAGAAGACTCAAGTTCAAATCATAGTAAAAAAGGATGAAAAAAGATGAGAAAGTGCTACATCTCATTTATGTAGCTTAAGATCATATGTATAAGAATTTAGACAATATTATAAGTGAAGAGGTCATTGTTAAGGGGGAAAGATTTCATATTTTAAGAACCAAGGATTAGATTATGGTAGACTTATAAGTAAGGGCACGTCCCTTTCCCTATGAGGTGGCTTTTCTTAAAAAGACAAAATCACAATAGTGGATCTCAAAATGGATAATATCTCATAATTGAACGCAATCCAACGACTCTAACATTAACAAATGACTTTGTTCATGGGACTCCAATACCCTGACCCTCAAAGAAAACACAATCTACTCTCAATTAAGGGGTTAGTGTTGAAGGGAAAAGATTCCACATCTTTTTTTTTCCGTTGTTGTTGAAAAGCTAGGTTCCACTCTTTAAGAGCCAAAGATTGGATTTTGTTTTGTAAATGAAGGCATCTTCCCTCACAAGGTGCCTTTTTCCAAAATGATAACATCACCAGGGTAGGCCCCAAAAGGATAAATACCTTATAACATGGTGTAATCCAACAATCCTAACATCATTGGTTCTTATTATATTTATTGCTATACTTAACCTAAAGTGATTTATAAATTATATTGACCTAAAGCAAGCATCTATAGTTGTTTATAAGATAGACCAAGCCCAATTAACAATTCAAAAACTTAAGCTTGGGCAACAAAGCCTATTTATTTTGCTGTTTATTATTTTAAATATTAAAAATATTTTTATATTAATATTTTATATAAATTTAAAAATAAAAAATAAAGAATTTAGAAATATATTTTTTATATTTAAATAGTATCTTCTAACTGAATTTGACCCTAAAAATTGAAGCCTGAGCCCGAGCCCAATTGAGCCAGGCATTCGAGCCTAGGCGGATAGTGTGGCCTGAATGTGTAAGTTAGCAATGTCAAGCATGATGACTATTTTCTAGCTTTTCTTCTCAGGTCATGGACCAAGGTGCTGCACTCTCATTTCATTTTTTTAATTTAAAATAATCAACTATAATTTTTTTATATATTCTTTTTATATATTTTAAAGGTGTAAAAATCACAACATAGGAAACTATGACCTAAAATTTTGAATTATCAAATTAATTACAAAATATAATTAAATTTGCTGAGTTACTAGTTAAATTGCTTGATTACATAAAAAGTTTATGATTAGATATAATCCGATGTATATGGTAGCTGAAAAATATGTCTTAGCTTTTTTTTCTCAAATATTCATAGATTAAAATAAAAAATTTCCATGAAGAAAACAAGTTACAAATAAAACTATTGATACATAAAATAATGCCAAAAAGGTTCTTATAAATAATATCACTTGCAATCGTACCTTGACAGTAAAATCGGGAATCATCATCATGTATAGCCTTCTTCTCTGACACATATGTAACACCAAATTCTTTGATGTCCAAACCAGAAGATAGTAATTTACAGCTCACAAAATCCCCAGCTTTCATCTGATAATCCTTTACTGGCCAGTGGATTAGCCATAAGATTGAGTTGCTATCGGTTTCAGGAATTCCAATGAAACTTGATAAATAAGCCCACACCAACTCCTTGGTCTCATTAACAATGTACACATACGGTAGAAATTTAAATATATTATCACTTATGAGAGAATATTCGATGCATAGGTTCAACCAACTAACTTTTTCAGTAGGATTTTGTGACAGTGAAAAATAAATTCTAGACCCTTTACAGCGATGCTCAAACGAGATTGGAATCCCACTTTTAGAAACAAAACAGATAGTTATGTCACCCTCATGAATTACCTGAGACATTGAAATCATTAGTTATGGAAGTATTGAATAATGTAAAATAAGAAAATAAAAAGTTTTAGTAGACTAAGAAAATACCTGAGGGGTAGAGACTATTTTTGTGTCTGTAAAATAGTTATAAATTTGCAATTCAATGTTCTCGATCCAATCCATACTAAATAAGCTTTTGATCTGTTCCACTTCAAAGTTTTCAATTGATTCCAACTTGGACACACCTTCAACCTCAGTTAGCTTTTCACAGGCAAAGACTATACACCTTTTCAAATTTAGTAAGCATGGCAAACTTGAAATCCTGTACAAAGATTGAGACATCATCATGCGCAAGCCACTCGTTGGAAGTTTTGGAAGCCTCTGGAGCTCTTTGCAACAAGTCAGCAGAAGTTCGTCAAGCTTTGTAAGGAGGATAATGCTCATAGGAAGGCTATGAATTGGGTTTTTACTTAAATTTAACGATTTCAAGGAAGGTAAGTAGCTCAAATCAGCAGGCATAATATCATCAGATAGTCTATAACTTTCAAGACTCAACTTTACCAAAGAACATGGCAAAGATGCCCAAAAGGAACCCAACTCTTTGCTTCGTTTCAGTGATAGCCAAGGCAACCACGAATTGGATTCATATATTGCAGTTCCATCTAAGCTAAGCACCCTTAATGATTTCATATTCTGCAAATCCCTAGGCACATCAAGTGTTGAGCAACCAGATAAAATAAGCTCTTCCAAAGATTCTAGCAAACCAATTGTCCTTGGAAGTTTCCTAAGACTTTTGCAACTTTTAAGGTTTAAAACAATAAGAGTCTTTATCTCACCAATGGATTCATCAACCTTAATCAACTTTTTGCAATCTTTCAGCATCAACCTCTCAAGACTATGAAGACTTGCTAAGTTAAAGATTTTAAGAAGGCCATGGGAGTGACTGAGATTAAGGATCTTCAAATTTGGAAGAAAGTACTGTAGAAAAGGAAAAAGAAAAAACACTTAGCCATATAATTTTGTTTTTGCTTTGCAAAAAGTAAAGAGAAATTAAATAGTATCACACCTTTGTATCATTCCAAACACGTTTGAGGCTACTGTTGTGCATCTCAAGAACAACTAGCTTGGAAATGTCTAAAGCTGTAGGAAGATATTCTTGAGGAAATCCATACCAACACAACCATATTAAGCTTCTCGGAAAGTATCTATAGTCTCCTTTAAGTTTTACATAATCTAGTTGAAGTAGTTTAAGTCTATGCATCTTCGCAAATGCATCAGTTTCTATATCTACCTCATTTGACATGAGAAATGGATTTTTTGAATGATTTGTAGTTGTCTTTCCATACTTATCTTCTAGCAATCTTTGTAGGTCAATGGTGAGACACTTGATTGTTTTTGTACCCTATTGGAGAAAGAATATTTTAGTTAAAAAAACTTCGATATCAGAAAATTGCATAAAAGAAAGTAAAAGAAGATGAAGTCTTTCTTACAATTTTTTCTCTTAATGCATCAAATGCATCCTTATGCCACAACCTGCTTCGTTTCCCAAGGTCAGGAGATTCTTGACGAATAATGTCCCTTCATATATCTCTAATCATTTGATACATCATTAGCTTGTTTTTTTCATTAATAACCAAAAGAGACCTATTTATGAGATTTTCAATACCAATTGCTGTATGGTAATCACACCCATCTAGAATTGTAGTTGTGAAATCTCTATCCTTCCCGACGAATGCTCAAGCTATGTCAAGGAATAGATTTTTATCATGATCATCTTGCAGGGAATCATTGCTTATTCTTAGAATTTTCTGAATTTTGCTATTAGGGATTGCTTTCAATTTCTCTAATTCACTTTTCCACACAGTTTTACTTTTACCAGACAAAGAAGAACCCAAAACTTGAAGAGCTAATGGAAGCCCACCACAATGTTTCACTACACTCCTTGCATATTCCATATAACTGTCAATTGGATCATTCTGTCCGAAGGCATACCAATTAAAAAGTTGAAGGGATTCATTGAAAGCTAATTCTTTTACCTCAAATACCTTGCATAAGTCTCCATAACTTGATGATGCTTCAAGATCAAACATCTGCCTAATAAAAGGATCACTTAGTAGACATCGATGCCTACTAGTTATGATGATTTTACTTCCTGGATGAAAAGGAACTTGCGCTCCAATTATTTTAGTTATTTTTTCCGAATCATCTACATCGTCTAAGACAAGAAGCACACGTTTACGGCATATAACTTCTTTGATCTTAGTGATTCCATCATCTGAATTGTATATTTTATTTGCTTTTTCCTTACGGATATCTGAAATAAGTTGTCTTTGCAAACGAACCAGGCCATTGTGCTCTTGAGTAATCTCTCTAACATCGGCGAGAAAACTGTAACCTTCAAATTTCTGAATGTTAAGATTGTAAACAACTTTTGCAATGGTTGTCTTCCCAATCCCTCCAATTCCACATATTGTTGCTATGCCAACCTTATTTGATCCATCTCCCAACCACCAATTAATGCATGTCACAAGAAAATCGGTTCCAACTAAATAAGGAGGGACATATAAAGCAGTGCGATGAAGTTTATTTTGAACCTGTTTAATAACATCTTGAATGAACTGGGACTCATACCTACAAATTTTAAAATATATGAATTATAGTGTATATTTTAAATATAACTTGTCAGGTGATATCTTGAAAATGGAGTAAAAATCCTTCAACTTATATGTTTGTTTCTTGTATAATTTTAATTTTAATTTCATCTTGAACTTATCTTGCATGTGTTAAAATTCTCAAGTGTATCTTAATTCTTAAATATTAAGAGATATTTTTTTCAAAAAATCTGATAAATTATTTATTTTATTCATTTACTAAGTTATTTTATTCACATATAGAAAAAGTTACTTTCTTTATTGGTATTTCCTTCACATTAATTATTTATTGTTTACTGAGTCAACATTTAATTTCTGATTGTTTTGGTTAGACTAAGTTAAAAGTGAAGTGTAAATAAAAGAGTGTTTTACTTAATTATGTGTAGGATTTCATTGAAGTAGGATGAGATATTAATTTTAAAAGGAATGGTGTTATCCGTGTGGCTGTAAATACAAAGCATGTGATGTGATTTTAGTCAAGCCGCACACAGGCTAAAATAATGCATAAAGCAATTTCTCCAAATTCATCTTTTCTTCCCGCTTTGAATAAGTTTTTCTTCCTTTCTCTGATGTCTTGGATACCACTCAAAACACCTAGCAGAATATTTCTCAGTTCAAACCCAACTCAACTTTATATTTTCTTATTCTAAACCCATTTCGTCTTGGCATAAGGTTATCAATTTTAGTAGCCAACCTCGAGCCAAGAAAACTATATAGCCTACGCTCGACCTGTCCTGCCTCAACATTGGTCTTTTTTTATTATTATTTTAGTTTGATGTTCATGTAAATTTTTAAATTATAATGTACATTACATCTTAATTACTTTTAAATATAGTATATTTTTATGCCGACATCTCTAATTAATACTAAATATAAATTTGTTAATAAACTATACATGTAACTATAAATATAAAATATAATATTTTCTATATATACCTCAAGACGGAAACTCCAAAGTTGACCCAACTTTGACCCCATTTTTTTAATTGTAAAACCCGTCCCAACTAGCCTTAGCCACTAATTTCCAAACGAAAAACCTACCCCTTCTGGGTCAGGCCAAGACCAAAGCCCTCAAGTACGGGGTTTTCGCCATCTCCAATTTTTTTTCTATTTCTTCTTGTTGGTCCCTATTTTAGTAGTACAGAATTTAAGAAAAGCGTGTTGGTTTCAATAAATTACATTTTTATCCCTAGTCATTATAACTTTTTGCTCTTCTGAATTTATTGTTATAATATATGTGAGATATACCAATAGGAATGTCAACTTAGAAGTCGATGAACTTTTAGATATGAAAATAACAATTTGAGAAATTAAAAAAAAAATGGGCCAGTCATGAGGTAGATGGAGTAATTATTTTTTACTAGATTGATGCTTTTACTTATATCCGATAGCCTTATAAATCAAAATCAAGAATAAAATTCAATGTTTTGTACTATATCTGTACGAGGCTGAGGAAGAGAACATTTATATTTTGAAATTAATCCTCAATTGGGAGAGTAATATTCCTTTATCATGTCAAAGAAACAATAAAAGTATTCAATCACGTAGTGAAAAATTAAACTATCATGAAATTATGGCATATATAAGATTGTAGTATATAAGAAGTATTAAAAAACTGTCACGAAATAGTTTAAAACTTGCTTACCTATCTTCTAGAAGCATGCCTTCCAAAACCGCAACTTCTCTTAAAGCAGCCCTCCATCTTTGTACCACGTCCATCTCAGACTTGAGGCTCTCTTCATGTCTAGCAAACGCTTCTGCAAAACTCCCTGTCTGCTCCTTCACTTGAGATGGCTTCACGTCATAGAAAATTGGCAAAACAATGTGTTTGGAGAATTTCCTATGTTCCATTATCTTTACAAGTTCATTAAGGCACCATGTTGATGAAGCATAATTCTTTGAGAAGATAATGATGGATATTTTTGACTCATGTATTGCTCTTTCAATTTCATCTCTTATCTTCTCTCCTCTTTCAATTTCATCATTATCCCTAAATGTGTGAATCCCTACATGCACTAAGGCCATGTAAAGGTGATCCGTAAAATTCTTGCGCGTATCTACACCTCTAAAACTCAAAAATACATCATAAGTGCATTGAGAAATCGACGAGGACTCTTGGACCATTGAAACAGCCATTGAAGAAGAACACAAGAGAATTTATATTGGCTGACGAGGCACCTAAAATTATGTAGAACAACGTAATTATGTCATCAAAGGAAAGAATTTAATAAAAAAAATGAAGGCCTTATATATAACCAAGATCAAAGAAATAAAAATAAGCAGTTATATAAGTTAAAGCAAAAGCCAGGATTAAAGATCATAATTAAGCTGGTAAATGAATTTAGACAAGGCAATACCTTGCTAACAGCTTTTCGTTACACTTGTACTCTCTATGAAGTGAAAGTGGATTGTAAAACCAGAAACGACTAAGAAATACATAACTTTTGCCTTTGTTATAGATGTTAGAGGGGATGTGTTCCTATGAACTAAGACCATTAAGTCCCAGCACAACAACCCTTTTTATACTAAAAGTTGACTTGATAAAACCCTGTCCGATGTATCTTTATTTTTATTGGTTGTAATTTTCAGCTGACTTTTCGCACCAGTGAACAAAAGAGTTGAAAATGTATACATTCATTATTTGTTCATTATTTGTACATATGACTCCATCAAAAATGCATACATCTCTTATTTAGAAAATTTAGTTTGAATTCTTTTTTTTAAAAAAAATACAATTAGATTGCCAACAATTTTATATTTTAACCATAATTAGGAATTTTTTTTAAAACAAAAATAACCTTAAGAAAAGTAAGTAAGATATTATATATATTTTTCATGAAGGGTCATAGTAATTCTAATTTGAAATTAATAAAAAATTTAAAAACATACATGAATATATAAATAATATCATAATAGTTTTAAGGAACTTTCTAATATTGAAATCTTATGGAACTCATTTATTTGTTCGCTATGAGCACTCTTTCCGGAGAAACTGTTTTTAGTGGTATATACTTATTTGAGGGTGAATCGTAATTTACTAAAAAAATAAGACTATGTTTGATAAACTAAAACATTCAACATTGACAAATTAAGTATCAAATTTATACATCTAAAACTTTTAAGTAATAAATTTTTACAACAAATATTTTCTAGTATTCTACTAAAATATGAATAATTAATGATTTATTTATTTTAAGTATTTTACATTAATAAAAGTAAAAAAAGAAAGAATATAAAATTAAAGTAGTTAAATGATAAACTTTAAATAAGATTTGATTGGATACATTAATGCTTTTAACTACTAACTTTTCAATTTTAAAATGAAAGTATTTTTTTAATTGGTTTCCAAAGTGAGTTATCAAACACACTAAAATGTTAAATCATTGAAAATTTTAATTTTCTATGACTTTAACTTTTTCAATAGTTTATCAAAGACTTTTTTATTGCTACTATTGCTTAAAAAGTACATTTAACAACCAAAGTAAGTATATTTTTGAAGAACTAAAAAGTTAAAATTTTAAATTTATAAATAAAAAATGCATGTGCTTTATCTTATTTTTATAGGAGACAATTACAGTTGAATCTATGGTTTTATTTGTAAATTTTAATCAGACATTATTTTTAATCCATAGAATTGGATGATAATGCTTTACATGTCCCATTTTATCTTTACAAGTTATATCTAAAAATTGGATGAATATGTAATTAGTATGATTTTGTTACAAATCTTTAATTTTATTTTTATAATAATTTTTTGGGAACAAAGATCGAAAGTAAGAAATCAAAGAAAAAAAATTCAATCTCAGACAAGAATTTTGCCATTTTTTTTTCTCCATAGTCCAATTATTTCAGACCACTTAATTTGCTCGCTTTGATGTTCGTGGTCTGAATATGACTTGACCTACTGTTGGTCCAATCCTTCCGACTCTTTTTGCAAGTTGTATATGAGTTTACGTCCAAACTTTTTTGCTGGCCAATTCTGGAAATCAATTTATGGGAAAAAGGTCAATTCAAGCCAGTGTATATTCAATGCAAATATATTTGCGAGTCAATCACTCCGAAGATCACACCATTTCTCACGACAGAAGAAGAAAAATTCATTTTTCGTCATATCTACTTTTTTTCAATTCATACGAGTGTGACTCTTTACCCGTTTCCAATTATATCAACTATGCTTTTCTAATATTTTTGTTTCTTTTCTTCTTCTTATCATTATTTAATTTAAATTTACAATATTTTGTTTGATACTTAAAAAATTAAATCATTGAAAATTTTAATTTTCTATGACTTTAAATTTTTCAAAAGCTCATCAAAGATTCTTTTATATTGCTACTACTACTTTAAAAAGTACATTTTGCAACCAAAGCAAAAAATCTTGAAAGAATTAAAAAGTTCAGAATTTAAATTTATAAATAAAAAAATGCATTTATAATCTTATTTTTATATGAGGCAATTACATTTGAATCTATGGTTTCATTTGTCACTTTTAATAAGATCTTATTTTTAATCCATATAAGTGTATGATGAGGGTTTGACATGTTCCATTTTACCCTTAAAAGTGTATTATCTGAAAATGATAAGTGTCATTATTTGATTAGCTAGCTTGAAGTCTTTTCCTCTTTTATCCTTCTTTTTCCCTCTTTTTCTTTTTCCTCTTTCCTTTTCCCCCCACCATCGGCCAATAAGAGGATATTATCTAATGCTGTTCACCTGTCGTATTGATCGTCTAATTACAACTTACACACCAAACACATCTTATATATATTATATAAATTTCAATCTTACAACTACAAAACTTTGGTGTTAAAAATGCAAAATAAAGGTAAAATAACATGATTATATAATTAGTATGATTTTATTTTAAACTTTTTACTTTTATTTTATAATAATTTTTAAAGAACAAAACTCGAAAGTAAGAATTCAAAGGAAAAAAAAATCCAATCTCAAACAAGATTTTTGCCTTTTTTCCTCAATGGTCCAATCTCAGACCAAGACTTAATTTGCTGTCTCTCATTTTCTTGGCCTGAACATGGCAGAATACACTTCATCCAATCTCCCGACTTCTTTTGCAACTTGCAAGTGAGTTGAGATCCAAGTTTTTGCCTGTCCATTTCCGGAAATCAATTTATGGTAAAAGGTCAATTCAAGCAAATTAATTTCTACTACAACTATACTTGTGCGTCAATCACTCCACAAACCACACCAATTCATACGTAGGAAGAAGAAAATTCAAGAAAAATTCATTTTTGGTCATGCCTACTCTTTTCAATTCATACTAGTGCCACTCTTTATCTGTTTTCAATTATACCAAACTACACTTTTCTATTTTTTTTTGTCTTTTCTTCTTTTTTATCATTGTTTAACTTAAATTGATAATATTTTATTTTAATGTTTCAATTTTGATCCCAAGCTTCTCTCATTTTCTTGGCCAAAGCATGACTGGAAACACTATTAGTCCAATCTCGTGATAGTCTTTCAATCAATTTATGGTAAAAGGTCAAATAAAGCAAATGCATTTCTACTCCAAATACATCTGCGGGTCAATCACTCCATATACCGCACCAATGCATACGTCGGAAGAAGAAAATTCAAGAAAAATTCATTTTTCGTTGTGCCTACTTTTTCTAATTCATACTAGTCGCACTCTTTATCTTTTCCCAATTATACCAACTACACTTTTCTATTATTTCTTTTTAATTTTTTAGTCTTTTCGTATGTTTATTATTGTTTAACTTATATTGATAATATTTTATTTAATGTTTCAATTTTGATCCCATGCTAAAATTATTTTTTGCCCCCTCCGTTCTCTTTCTTTCTTTCTTTCATCTTCCTTGTATATATTAGTTAAATTCATGCTTATCATCATTATAGTTTTTATTATAATGATTTATTACTTTCTATAGTTCTTTTTTCTTTCCTTCTTTTTATTATTGTTTATTAAATTTATAATTTTCTACTGAATTAAATTAATTCAATAATAAAATATATTTTTACCTCAACATTTATATTTTTGTCTCCTTTTTATTATTGTCTATATAAATTTAAAATTATTAATTTATTAATATAAATTAATTCAATAATAAAAATATTTTTACCTCAATAATAACGAACAAGAAAACTAATGGCACATATAAAATACATCCAAAAACAACCCAACTAGAATATAACTAAACACTTCTGAATTTTTGTTAACCCAACCAAAAAGCCCCAAACACATTAAATCCAAATATAAAAAAGGTCCAAAAACCCACCCAAACAAAACCCTATATACCGAATTTAAGAAACCAGATCCAAAAAACCAAAACCAACCCAATTTCCTTCCACCACCCTTTGAACAAATTGTTGCAAGTCAACACCAAATACCTCAAATGGCAGTCCCTAAATCCCCTTGCACTACTTCAACAAATTTTTCGGCCACTAAGCATAAACGTTGTGGAGCTCCTCTGCTAGCTATCAACTACTCTTCACAATTTCAAACAAAAAATTTAACTAATCAGTGAATGATTTTTTAGCCCATGTTCAACCTATTTAAAATCAACTGACTCAGATTAAAATTAATTAAGAATTACCTTTATTTCATCGAGGTTCTGATAACTCTTTGTTTAGAACGTAAAGCTATAAGAGCTTTAATGCTATGTTGTAGTCCTTCCGATACTAGATACAACTACTTTAGGAATCAGTTTTTAGGACGTATCTTGGTCTAGACAAACCTCCCCTTATTGATGTTGCTCCTGTTGCTACCCATTCCAAGCCATCAAACACGAAATCATGAGTTCAGTTATGTAAGAATTATCGCCAAAAAGGTCACAACTTTTCTGATTGCTCTACGATATAGGGTTGGGCATATTATTGAGAACTGCCACGTGTGTTTACCTAAACCAAAAGGTTATACCTTTAAACCTACGGAAGATTTCTAAACATCTTGATCTTCATCCATTGCCACTCTTGCATTCAAGGACTCTATTACTCTCACTATAAGTGATATTGAGGTTTTACTAAACTAGATTAATTCTTCCGATTCTTCTTTTCACACTACCCTCTCTTTTACTCCAGGTAATTCATTTTCGCTCCTTGATTATACTTGTTGTAATTATATGACTCTTAATTTTTTTTTATTGTACCCACTAAAATGTCCTCTTTGTCTTTTCCTTCTATCCACACTATCAATAGGGAATTTTTGGAGAGATAAAGTAGTTTAGGTTTTGTCTTTACTTAGTAAAATCTTAAATTGTAAAAGGAATTTTTTGATCTTTTCATATA